CGTTTTTTTCGGCCTTTGGCCAACGGCCGGTTTCAACACCCCGTAAAAAGGCCGCAAAAAACAACCCACCCCGTGTTGAAACGGCCTCCGTGACTCAGGCCTTTGGACTCCCTGGGCTAGTTGGTCGGCGCGGTCGGGGTTCTAACATGGGATCTTCAGCCCCCAGTTGTTCGTTTCTTACTGGAATGCGGCCATAGCTTCAGGGAATGACTCCAAACTGAACCATCCGACTGGTGGTTTCCTCTCAGACAGATTTCCCAACCAAAAGATGATCTACTGAACAAGGCAAGAGGTGCACTCCTCCCACATTGCACCTGTGAGAGGGTACCAGCAAGATCAACTTCCTTTGGAGGAGCCCCCCTGTCAGGTGGCATGTTAGTGGGAGGGAGGGTAGGACTGAGCAGGGACTCTTCTTCTGGCAGGAGGTTTTGCAAAAAGAAGGGATGTGGAGTTGTGTCCGACTACAAACAAGCCCTGCATGGAATGCACCCACAGCCAGTCTATTTTCCCGTTCCATGTGCGAACGCATGTTCTCACAACCAGGGACCCCTGCTGGTTGGTTCCCTTTCGGTTCAGGTCACTGCATTCATGTGACCCGTCTACCCTTCTGCACTAGTGGCCGAAAACAGCAATGTCGCCACCTTGCAGCACTGACTTGTCCAAAGGGGGCCGTGACAACAAATCCAAAAGTGGAAAATCAAAGGTTGAAAGGTCGGCAAGTGCAAAACTGGACGGCCGCATGAAGCGCAGTGGACAAAATCCTTCCACAGCATCACACAATGAAGAGCCAAAAAAACATCATTAACGCAACTACATTTTCTGGCTGAACCGTCCGTTGGATCGAAACACTCGTGCAAGCGAAGCCAAAAGAATGTGAGAGCGCAATAGGTTGGGTCAATGCAAGGACTTTTCGTCGGGCCCATGTTCTTGTCTCCAAGGCCCTGGCAGACAATGTCTGCTTGGAAGCAGAACTCCCGATGAATCTGGATGTGTCTCTCTCAGTGAGACCTTGATCTACTTCGGATTCCTTCGCTTGACACGGAGTTCCAACTTAAGTCTGAAGCCTCGGTAACCAGGGTAGAAGCATGGTTGTATATTGGACATGGCGTATGACCATGATTATAACCCAGCACTGATCTTGACAGAACTCCCTCCCGCAAGTCGGTATGTCCTTTTTGCGTATTTTTGAGGGGGGTGGTTGGAAGAGAAGCCACCGTCAAAACTGCGCCGGACAAAACAAAAAGAATCCAAGGGCGTCACAAAAAAACGAGGGCTGGACACAGGGCTTGGCGGCTTTGATTCGATGAGTTGGATACCAAACCCCTTGGCAGAGAAGCCCAGCCCGGGTTTCGGGGCTTTGACGCAAAGCCAGTGCTCCTTTTTGTCCGCGTCGCACCACCCCCAAGCTCCGTGTCCTTCGCGGGACGAGAGTGGGAGCCCGAGTTTTGGCCAAGGCACTGTCGCGGGAATATGTGGCGTGGTCTCCAAACGGGAAAACCTAAAAAGAGAGGGCTCCCATCAAAAAAAAACACCAGGTCATGTTGACTCTTGACGATTCAAAATGAGGGATCCAGAATGAGAGACTCTGTTTCATTGATTTCCCTGTGAAGGCATAAGGCGCTTCATTGTGAGTTGCGCGGGTAAGCCCTGAGCCAGCAAGCAAGCTCCTCGTTTGCGTCCAGGTTCGGTGTAGTTTAAGTTTTCAGGTTGACAGATTGTGGCAATGCAAGGCGCGTAGGTCGCCTCTCAAACAGCACGTGGATCATTTCCTGCGATCATGATCTCCGTTCGCTTGGGCAGGTGTCGTTCGGAAGTGTCAGAAGTGGTCCTTCGATTTGCGGATCTGCCCCTTGAATCGCAGGCTGTCCTAGGCCCAATCCCCGCGCCAGCCATCGGCGCTCGGCAGGCTCAGCCCAGCTTGCCAATCTGCGCCTGCGCTAGGGCGTTGGCAATCGGCCCCCCGCCAAACCGGCCGCCTGGAACCGACCAAATCTATGCGAGGATCAACACCCACATGTCCATAAATACTCTTCCTGGAACTGCCACTATGGAGATAGGAAGGCCAGGCAGGAAAGGGCTTAAAGCAATCGTTACGTTGCTCGTTGGCGATAATTGCCAACGACAAATGCACACTGACCAACTGACCAACCATGCACCAGGCAAGTGCCACCCCAAGAGCAAACATCCTCCCGCGGCCGCAGTCGCCTCTAGGGGCTGCTAAAAAGCCCAGTAGAAAGAAACCATCTACGCTGTGGGGGGGAGGGGGGGGAGGGGGGGCAACAGCTCTGGACCGGTGTCTCAACTTGATCCTTTGAGAAGCTGCTCAAGCATCTGTGTCCCAGGGCTCCACATGCCATGGGTTTCCAAATTAAATGATGGGACCAGGTTCTCCGGGTTCGAAAACACAAGATGGGTTACTTTCAGCCACGCGCTTTGGTGTATTTGGCATATTCTGTCTACATGGGTGAGATGAAACGAAGTAGCATCTGACAAATAGCCCTACGTTGCTATAGTTCGGGTCGGAAACCCCAGTCGGAACCGCATAAAGGCAGCCCGGTGGTCGACCCAAGCACCAACCCAGATCACCAAGCAGGGGCTCCCAGGCCCAATAGGCCCAATAGGCCGTGCCCGAGCGGAGAAAGTTGCACAAAGAAAATATGCCAAAGTGAAAAACTGACTGCAGCTCTACTGATTGAGGAAGCATGTCTAGCTTTCGGCGGAAACCAAAGGACCCTCCCCAAAGGTTGAAAAGACAACTTCTCCAGCAGGGCTTCGTAGAAGGGTTCCGAGAACCTTTTGCGGGGTACAGGTGGGGCAGGTAAAAGGCCTGCTCTCCATCCTGATTGTAAGATGTGCTGACATTCCGCTTCACAACAAAGAAATATCAAATCTGCAACCTGGAGATCCCAGTGCAATAAAACCAAAAAAGAAAAACACCAAGGACCTGGCAATGCAGATTTGCCTTATATTCTTGAACCCAAAAAGAACAAATCAAGCCGACCAACAAACGTCTCTGATGCAAGCTTCCGCCTGTTGATGAGGCTCGGATTCGGTCAGACACTTGGTCATACTTCATCCCAGACTACTTGAAGTGGATGATGGCATAGGACCGAAATGATCTTTCACAGAAGTGTGTGGCAGGGACAATCCAAGATTAACTTATCCTCGGGACTTCTAGCCGATCATTTGAGGTGAAACCTATCGCGGGATAAATTCACCTCCCACCCCCTTGTTTAAACATGTTTCAACAACATCGGTTCAACCAATCCCCTGTTGGTTTCCTTTTGTGGGGGGCCAGAGTCTGGCCGTGTAAACTAACTTTGCCATCCCGACAAATCTGACACCTGGCCGGGGTGTTCCCTCCGTCGCTTCGCCTTGCTGCCATGTGAAGGCTCTCGTTGGCCCGGCCTTCTTGGCCAAGTGGACGATGCTCTTATGAAGCGCCTCGGATGAAATGCTCAGGGTACTCGGATATTCAAGCCTTAACCCCGGATTCCAATCTATGCTACCATCATTTTTGCGAAGGCCTTCACGTTGACCCAGTCTGTCTTCATGGGGTCCAGGTACTGTTAACCCAGGGTGCTTACTTTGCTTTTTGAGGAAATCATCCGCCAAAAAAGGTGGGCAACTCATCCACTTGCTCAAAATCGTGTCCGGATCTGCATCCGGCAAATGCCTTTCCTCCGCAGCCCCAAACGAGATTGGACTGGTCCATCGCCTTGAAAGGGAGAGCCCCAATCCCTCACATCTTGCGCGGACCGTCGTGTTCAAGACGCCGCTTCAAGGTGACAAGGCACAAGCAAAATATGGCGCACTCCACAACTAAGGTGGTTGATGGAAACTGTTGCCCTGAGGTCTGCTTGGGGCACGCCTCAGGGCGTGCCAGTCTCGACATCTTAGCCACTTAGCACACTAAAACCCATCCATATGCCTTGCTGGGTGGCACCAAACACGAGTTATGAGAGAGCTCCAGGAAATGGGAACTTTCTCCCGACTTGGGTTAAGAACCATTGCCATCCCAAACACGACCCCGCAGAAAAAAAGGCTTGCCTTGTTCGGCCGCAAGGCACCAGCTGAACGTGTATTTCTGGAGGTTCCTTTATTTCCTCAGATGCCCAGTGGCCATAAGAAAAACAGGGCATCTTTTTTTCGTTGGTTGACTTTAAAGTGGAACCCTTCCCCAACAAAAAGTTGGAAAAAAGGAAGCAACCCACTGACCAAGGGTGTTTCCCTCGCAATGGGGAGTCAAAAGGCGAAGCCACCAGACCGTGCCCAAGTGGCCGCGTCGAAGATCCCGGCCACTGTAAAGATGCCCCCGACCACAGCGCAGATCTGATGGCTTCGGGTGTCACTTTGGGGCCCCAGAGGGGGCCCCTTGGAGGACCCAGGAGGTGGGGGGTAGTTGTTGTTTGGTTGTTTCTTTTCGGCAAGCGACCATGCAAGTGACTGCAAGTGGTAGAAATATACAGTTGAACTTGTTGGTTAGACTTTTTGCGCAAATCCTTCGGGAGCCTTTGGCAACTTGGGCCTCTAAACAGCCAGAGGCCTGAACGATTTTGGCGTGATGGGTGAACTCGTTTTGCCCCAGGGTCGCGTCTGACCTGCATGCCTGATCCAACACCTGTCCAGGCCCCGAAACGACCTGAGACAGCACGAATTAGGACATAAAGTGGATGGACAATGTGGGTATGGATCAAAACCAATGGTACCATTTTGGGGCATGTTCACTGGGGGTACGGGATTTTGACACATGGCCATGTGACAAAAACTCCTCCATCAGTTTGTGATGCTTCATAGGGTTTCCTTTCTAGTATGTGTTCATCCTGCTGGTGCGAGAGATGCAGGGAATGAGAAATAGAATGACCTATATACACCATCCAGCTGGTGGTTTCCTTCTAGGTCCTCCAGTAAAGAGAATAGAATAAGGGTACCCATTTTTTTAATGTAGTCTATTTTGGTAGGGGCTCCCCCAAAAAAGGTAAAAGGGCACTACTGGGGGACCTAGTCTACGTATCGCACCGATCGCCAGGCGTCATTTGCTCTCATCCAACGTCACCCGCCTGCACCAAGAAGTGCGAGAAGCTCTCCTGATGATTCAATGGCTCGACACTAGCGAGACGTGTGTGCGTGTGTGTCCGCGCGCGTTTGAGGGTATCCTCCGTTGTAATTATGTTGCTTGAAAGGGAAACCAAAAGGAATGCCACCATTTCGCAGGTCCTGCTATTTTGACACATACCCGCAGTTGAACACAGAATGCTACAAAGATATATGTACGACCTGCAAATCGACTTCGATCCCGCCCCAAACGCTTGCCGGGATCCATACGCGCACGAATATGAGACTTACTGCCTTGGGCTTTTGTGACAAGTACCAAGACAAGTTTTAGCTTACAACCTTTCCCAGTACTAGCGCTAGGTCACTGGAGTTTGAGGCAAACATTTATTTTGTTGCCACTGCATGCTGACAGTTGGGCTCCTCAACAACGACATGTTTTGCTACTTAGGTCCCTGGCCTTTGTATCAAGACATTGCAGGCTGCTGGCCGTATGTCTTCGAATTGTGTATTCTTAAATTGGAGGCCCCTGGGCATTGTACTTACTTTGTAGTTTCGAACTCAGAAGTCCCCGGCCTGTGTATTTTATTTGTATTTGTTTTTGTATTTCGAAATTGGAGTTCCCTGGACAGTGTACTTTATTTGTGTTTTATTTGTGTATTTCATGTTGTATTCCATGTTGTACTTATTTTGTAGTGTGGTCGTTTTTTTGGTATTTTCCCCAGGTGTTTTGCACTTGTTCACCTTTTCCACCTTTTCCGGGCATCAACCAGCACAACTGCTTCAGCATGGCTCAGTCCGGATATGCTGTGCTCACAGCCGCAGCATCACCAAGAGAGTTAAAGTGCAAAGCATCCTTGCCAAGCCAAGCAATCCATGCTCCTGACAACCAACAGCAGCCGCTAGCCCGTCCAAATTGGCCGGCCAAAGGTCGCAACCTGCCGAATGCATGCCAGCGCACACACTGCTTCCGCACCGAAATCATCAACTAATACAACTGCTTCAGCATGGCTCAGTCCCGATATGCCGTGCTCACAGCCGCAGCATCACCAAGAGAGTTAAAGTGCAAAGCATCCTTGCCAAGCCAAGCAATCCATGATCCTGACAACCAAGAACGGCCGCTAGCCCGTCCAAATTGGCCGGCCAAAGATCGCAACCTGCCAAATCCATGCCAGCGCAAACACTGCTTCCGCATCGAAATCATCAACCAATACAACTGCTTCAGCATGGCTCAGTCCGGATATGCTGTGCTCACAGCCGCAGCATCACCAAGAGAGTTAAAGTGCAAGGCATCCTTGCCAAGCCAAGCAATCCATGCTCCTGACAACCAAGAGCAGCCGCTAGCCCGTCCAAATTGGCCGGCCAAAGATCGCAACCTGCCAAATCCATGCCAGCGCAAACACTGCTTCCGCACCGAAATCATCAACTAATACAACTACTTCGGCATGGCTCAGTCCGGATATGCTGTGCTCACAGCCGCAGCATCACCAAGAGAGTTAAAGTGCAAAGCATCCTTGCCAAGCCAAGCAATCCATGCTCCTGACAACCAAGAGCAGCCGCTAGCCCGTCCAAATTGGCCGGCCAAAGATCGCAACCTGCCAAATCCATGCCAGCGCAAACACTGCTTCCGCACCGAAATCATCAACTAATACAACTACTTCGGCATGGCTCAGTCCGGATATGCTGTGCTCACAGCCGCAGCATCACCAAGAGAGTTAAAGTGCAAAGCATCCTTGCCAAGCCAAGCAATCCATGCTCCTGACAACCAAGAACGGCCGCTAGCCCGTCCAAATTGGCCGGCCAAAGATCGCAACCTGCCAAATCCATAACCACCAACAAATACAACTGCTTCAGCATGGCTCAGTCCGGATATGCTGTGCTCACAGCCATCACCAAGAGAGTTAAAGTGCAAAGCATCCTTGCCAAGCCAAGATATCCATGCTCCTGACAACCAAGAGCAGCCGCTAGCCCGTACAAATTGGCCGGCCAAAGGTCGCAACCTGCCGAATGCATGCCAGCGCAGACACTGCTTCCGCACCGAAATCATCAACTAATACAACTGCTTCAGCATGGCTCAGTCCGGATATGCTGTGCTCACAGCCGCAGCATCACCAAGAGAGTTAAAGTGCAAAGCATCCTTGCCAAGCCAAGCAATCCATGCTCCTGACAACCAACAGCAGCCGCTACCAAGTCCCAATTGGCCGGCCAAAGATCGCACCCTGACAAATCCATAATGCTTCCGCACCAAAACCACCAACATTCAGCATGGCTCAGTCCGGATATGCTGTGCTCACAGCCGCAGCATCACCAAGCAATCCATCCTTGCCAAGCCAAGCAATCCACCTGACAACCAAGAGCGCTAGCCCGTACAAATTGGCCGGAACGCAACCTGCCAAATCCATGCCAGCGCAAACACTGCTTCCGCATCGAAATCATCAACAATACAACTGCTTCAGCATGGCTCAGTCCGGATATGCTGTGCTCACAGCCGCAGCATCACCAAGAGAGTTAAAGTGCAAAGCATCCTTGCCAAGCCAAGCAATCCATGCTCCTGACAACCAACACCAGCCGCTAGCCCGTACAAATTGGCCGGCCAAAGATCGCACCCTGACAAATCCACTGTGCTTCCGCACCAAAACCACCAACAACTACAATTGCTTCAGCATGGCTCAGTCCGGATATGCTGTGCTCACAGCCGCAGCATCACCAAGAGAGTTAAAGTGCAAAGCATCCTTGCCAAGCCAAGCAATCCATGCTCCTGACAACCAAGAGCAGCCGCTACCAAGTCCCAATTGGCCGGCCAAAGATCGCACCCTGACAAATCCATACTGCTTCCGCACCAAAACCACCAACAAATACAACTGCTTCAGCATGGCTCAGTCCGGATATGCTGTGCTCACAGCCGCAGCATCACCAAGAGAGTTAAAGTGCAAAGCATCCTTGCCAAGCCAAGCAATCCATGCTCCTGACAACCAAGAGCAGCCGCTACCAAGTCCCAATTGGCCGGCCAAAGATCGCACCCTGACAAATCCATACTGCTTCCGCACCAAAACCACCAACAAATACAACCGCTTCAGCATGGCTCAGTCCGGATATGCTGTGCTCACAGCCGCAGCATCACCAAGAGAGTTAAAGTGCAAAGCATCCTTGCCAAGCCAAGCAACACACGCTGGTGACCGGGCAAAGATCGCCCTCCCAATTCATGGCAGGCGGGGAAACCGCGCTTGTTGCAAGAGTAGGCATCCACGCATGGCTGAGTCCGGCCTTGCGCTGCTCACAGAACATCACCAAGAGAGATAAAGTGCACAGCATCCAACTTCAGCCAAGAACCCCGCTGCCAACACCAATTCATGGACGCCCTTACAAGGGAATGATTTTGACTACAAGGGAACAAGGATGGATTGACTCAACCTTTGGCAGAGCTTCATTTCCCTTTGGGCCATAAAGCCGTTTCACTCAGCTCCAGAGGCCGCGCAAGGGCGTGAAAGAGAGTCACGCTGGAAATGATCGGACTTTCGCTGAAAAAGAGTCAAGCGCACACACACACAGACACAGATGAATTCGACCCAAACTGATACCATGGCCATTTATTCTCAGCCAAACTGACCTAGAAAGCAGACTTATGGTCACACATTGGACTTTAGTGCTTTGCACATTCCCGCATAAAAGTAGACAAAGCCCTGTGTGCCTTCCCCGCTTCACTGTCCCCATTCACAAAAACATTCGATATGTATGTATGTGTATATATGCACATACAATATGTATATGTATGATGGGCACAACTGAATGGTATCTCTAGAACGAAAGAAACGGTTCTACCACTCAAGCGTTCTTAGCAGTGACAAGTGCCACGTGTGCGCCAGTCCTTCGTCTCAACGTAGCGGACAGTGACTGGAGAAAAGTCGTATCGCAGGTACAATGACCTCAGGCGACTGCAACCCGTTGACCGCTTCTACGAAATATTTTGCCCCCGACCACAAAGAATATGCTTGATGGTCAATTTGTGGTGAACCCTGAAACGTGAAATCATCTCAATCCCCCTTCATGGGGGTCACAACCACCAAACCTAACTTATAGCTGGTGGTGAGATCAGGCAATCCGAGCAAAGGTTTGGTATTTCTATGAAACGACCCGTTATCATGTGGCCAAATCGATCGCAAACCGAACACCTTTCTGAAGTCGACAGCTCGATTCTCCCCTTCAAACATCACCCGACCAGGAAGCTCAAAACAAACAAGTTGAAAAGATGATTCCCAAGGTGAACCATGGGGTCTTGAAATCGGCGAACCCCAAAACGGTGGTTTCCCTTTGGTTTGCTTTTGAAGCCTCAAGTTGGAAGCCTCAAGAAAAAGAACAGACCAGGACCCCTGGCCTATCGCTAGTCAAAGCTGAATGTTATGGTTTTCCCTACCTACCAACCCACCAACCTACCTCCCGACCACCCACCCCAACCAAACAACCAAACAACCAAACAACCCACCAAGCTCAGGCACGCGGTTTTTCCAGAGGAGCAGGCGAAACGCTTCGGGTCAACATGGACCCATGTGCGTGTGTACAATCTTGGGGCCCTAAAAGGGGGTAAGGGAAACCAACAAAGAAACATGCACCATTAAACAACAGGTCCCCATTTTACGAATCAAGCATTTGCGGGTACCTGGAGAAGCCAGTTAGACTGGCTACACTGCCTGTCAGGCGGATGGACTGTCTTTCCCACATGGAATCCTGGGATTGGTCGCCTCGGACCATTTTCCTGTTCCAGAGAATTTCTGGTTGGGACTTGCCATAGAATCAACGGGCACCCCATGGAATCATTTTTCGGAATATCTTCCGGGAGAAAAATGTTTGGCCCAACCCCAACCTGACCGCTTGCTTGCTAGTTCCTTTCGGAAAAGGCTTGGGACCCGACGGCATCTGCTGGTTGACAATCTTGTTGGAGTTCGCAGTGAACCTGAGCTTCCAGCTCCAAAACTCGGTTGCGAAATCTGCTCCCCTGCTAAAAGTTTAACTGTTAGTGGTTTAATTAATGGAAAACCGAAGCATTAGTTGGCAAAAAGCTAAAGTCCTAACATCCCTTGGCAAAATGCAACAAAGAAAAGCGCAAGGTGAGGATTTGTTTATATCCACGAAATGAGTGGGAATTCCTTCGGCTTCCCGTTAAAAACCAGCCCCAAAAGATGGCGCCTGGACAAAAAGAACACACCGTTTGCTTTACCTTGTGCTGGTTGGGTGGCCACAAGTGTTGTGTGTGTGTAAGAATTGTATGGTTGCTCTTCGTTTGCTTGTTAGAACAGAAACAAGCACCAGCCTCTCATGGTCAAACTTGGCAAAGACTCAAGTGTATGCTGGGTACTTGACACTAGGAAGCGGACCCCCCGCTTCAGAAGCTGGATCCAGTTTGTTTTCAGGATGCTCAGTCTCAGTCTTGGTTGTCGTCTTGGGCCTTGGATGAACCCGCAATAAACCCAGTCAAAACCCCTTCAGGACCTTTTGTAAGAGTAAAAAGAAGGAGCGGACCCCCCTGTTAGGAACCAAAGGACCCCGGGTCTTTGGATGTTCAGCCTATTTATGAGGAGTAGCTTGAAACCATGCTTGTACATTGTCCCACGTATAAGGATTATAGTGTTTGCGGGTCAGGTGGGTGCTCAGGCAATTCATGCTAAGGTTTCATTGGATGACTGATTTGCGCAGCGCGCAGTGCTTTGGTTCGCACCTCTGTTTGCTGTTGCGTCAGCGGAAATGGGACGGCACGTCGCACTTTCAAGTTCAAGCGTCAACCTGAGGTGTTTGACGAAACTGTGCGGCGGTTCGCCTTTTCACTTCTTGCTTTGGGAAATAGACGCCCCCAAACAGAAGGTTTACTTTTCGTGTCCCCCTCTACGTCTCAGGGCTTTGCTTGCTTGTTTGCTTGCCTGCCTGCTGGCTTGCTGATTCCCAGCATATCTGACATAGATCAATGAAATCGAAGCACCCTAGCCCGTCGAGTGGGGAGTCTTGCGGTCAGTCCCGCTCTCCAAAACAAAGCTTCGCGTTGACAAGAAGCCATTTTTTTTGAGAGGGGGACCCCCTCAGCGTGGGTATTTTCCATGTGAAACGAGCGTTTTTCCAAATTGGGGTTGTGTGCAGCCATGTGTGTATATATCTGTAAAGCTACTAGATGCAAAAATTTATAACATAGAATGAAGGTGAGAGACTTCTCAGAGGGTTTTCCAAATTGGGGTTGTGTGCAGTTATGTGTGTATACATCTGTAAAGCTACTAGATGCAAATATTATAACATAGAATGAAGGAGAGAGACTTCTCATAAAGGGAAACAACATGAAGATAGAAGTAAATGAGATAAATTATCCTGCATTGTTTATTTGGCACAGCTTTTAACATAGCATATTGGCATGAGAAATACCATTCAGGTACTATATGCAAAGGAGTTGTGAGAAAGAAGAGAAACCGAAGGTAACTTGAAGAAGATATAGATAGGGACTTCATATCTGTCCGTTGAAATATTTACTAATAATGAAAGGAACAAATGCCAATTTATAATTAGTGGAATTCCTGTTAGGATGTTTAGAAGATAGAAGATGTCGACTGCACAAACATATGATAAAGAAGAAACCCACAAAGAAGAAATGGAAATAGACAATGACAGACAAAGAACCTCTTCAATGTTGGATTGTAAACATAATGTCCCCCACAAAGCCATTCTATTGGGGCTGGAATGGGAGATAATAAACTTGTAATTACTGTAACTTCCCATAAGCTCAACTGTCCATTCAGTAAAACATAACCAATAAATGCTGTTCCCATTAAGAAGAAGTAAATACGAATTCCAGAAAAATCAATTATTAGGATTGTAAAACAAATGTTAAGCATAAGATATAGCTCTTCCAAGATGTTGAAGTACAAAAAAGAAAGACACATGATGCACCATTAGAATGAAGATAGCGTAAACACCATCCAAAATAGATGTCTCTAGTTAAAATTAAAAGTGTATGTAAGCTAACCAAACGGCACCACACATGCAAGCGATAACTCTTTTATCCGAGCAATGTGTTGGTGCCAGGGACTCATCTTCCCCTGTCAGATGTCAACGGCTGGGTGGGCCCCATGGGCCACCCACCACAAACTCTCAAAAACTGAAGAACGGGTGTGCAGACTGATAGCGCCCGCCCCTGAGCCGGGGCCCGGGGCACCCAGGCCACAGGGGGGTCTGCCACCAGGGGAAGTGAGTCACCCACCGGCTCCGGTCACGGGAGCATGGGTGGGCCCACGCTAAGATCAAATGCATCTCCATTCAGGAGACGCGGGAGAAAAACGAACTCCTCGCAGAGTTCCTGTTTAGGGACCCTGTGCAAAGGGTCGAACCCAGAGAAATCTGGGTGCGTCAGCTCATCGGCCCACTGGTTGAATTCCCGGGGCACGTGGTTGGCCGCCAGCGAGCAGCCATGGGTGTGGAGCAGGAAGACCAGCTCCATCAGGATAGCCGCGGTGTAGGGCTTCTTGGATCCAAGGTTGAGCATCGCCATGACGTTGCCCTGATTGTCACTGCCCACCGGGAGTCGGACCCGGGAGGACAGAGGGCCTTGGTGCGTGAGGATCATGTTACAGAGGAAGAGCGTGCCCAGCATTTCCAAAGCCGCAATCCTCCGCTTGGGATCCCCATTCTTGAATGCCCAAGGGTACTCCTCCACGTGGATCTGTTCGTGGAACCAGTACACCTCCTTCTTTTCCGGCTCCGTTTTGTTGGAGCACCATCCTCCCACAAATGCCAGTCCTTCGTCCGAGGCGCTAGCATCGCTGCAACCCCACCAAGAGGACTTCGGCAGGTAAGGGGAGTACTGGACGAAGGGCGTGTTGAAGAGGAACCGCAGCATGAACGCCAGCATCCTGACTACCTTGGGGGGTTTCCCCACCGTGGTGGTGGCCATCTTCCAGGCCCACAATGGTTAAAGCATCGACTTCGCCAGCGGACATGCCGCAGTTGCCCATTGGATGCGGCCCAGGGCCTTCTCGATGTCCTTTGAGTGCATCGCCTGCCCTTCCACCATGGTCTGCAGGACCTCCATCACCAGGATGTGTTTGTTGGCGGCCATGAGAACCTGCGGGATGTTCGGGTGGACCACGAAGCCCAGCCACGTGTTGACCGCAGGCCGTTGCGCTTTTCACCAGCTCGTCTCCGTCCATGCGCTGCACGGAGGAGAGTTCCCCCCAGAGCCGATCCCTGGCCCCCTTCACCTTCTCAAAGGTGGTGTTGCCAACAGCGCCACCGCCAAGTTTACTGCCCCCTCGCTACGAAGCAGCCACAGGAAGTCATCCACAAAGACGAAGTTCCAATCCACTTGAGGGAAAAGTGCGTAGAGGACCCTGAGTAGAAGGGCTGCCAGGCGTCCCCAGTAGGATTGGGCACTGGCCATGCCGTATGTGCCTACCTTGTTCACCCACCATTCTTCCCCCAGTGAAGCCACCTGGAACCGCCAGTCCTTTCTGAGGACCTTTACTCTCCGGTGGGCCTTGGTGACGTCCGCCTTGAGCAGCACCCACCTGGTGCCCGGCTCCGGCCATAGCCAGCCCTCGGGTGGAGATTTGGCGACCTCCTTCTCGGGGCCGGAGGCACCACCAGGATGGCCGCCAGTGGCTTCTGCAACTTTGCCACGTCCTCCTTTATCTCGGCTGGGACCTCCTCCGGTGGTTTGGCGGGCGCAGCAGCCATGACCTCCTACCTTGGTGTGGGTGGGTGGGTTTTCAAACAGCTTGGGTTCCAGGAACCCAGATCAATGCTTGAGCCAAAATGGCACATGCCATTGTGGTCAAGCATTCCGCACACAGTTCATGTTTCCACATGCGTTTCAACATTAACAAAGTGTATGTAAGCTAACCAAACGGCACCACACATGCAAGCGATAACTCTTTTATCCGAGCAATGTGTTGGTGCCAGGGACTCATCTTCCCCTGTCAGATGTCAACGGCTGGGTGGGCCCCATGGGCCACCCACCACAAACTCTCAAAAACTGAAGAACGGGTGTGCAGACTGATAGCGCCATTTCCGAAGGACAGTCTGGCACACCCGCCATTTCCGAAGGATGCCAGTCTGTGCTGAGGGCCCTGGCCAGAGCCCTGTCCTTGGCCTCCCCCCCCCGGTCGCCAGGGCCGGGGGCACCTAGGCTCCCAAAGGGAGGGCCACCACCTCGGTCTCCGACTGAGTGTCTACAGAGTCATCAGAGCCCGAGTCCGCCGAGGAGTCCGAGTCCTCCTGCAGTGTGGGGACCTCCGCAGGCTCCAGTACCCAGTCCGCCGGGAAGCCATACCTCTTGAAGCAGCGTTCGCACTTGCCATAGGCCTCTTGCTCCGTCATGTAATCCAGCACGGAGAGCTCCTGGATCTTAGAGGCCGCCGGTCGCCACCCGCACCCCACAGCCGTGCCTTCGTCATTCAGCAAGTGGATTCTGGACTGGCCGGCGTTGCCTGTGCGTTTGACCGCCGCAACAACGCGAAGGGGGAAGTCCGGGGTGGTGGGAAACAGGTCCTTGGCCTTCACTGGTGTGTCCTCGGGTCCCTGTTCCACCAATGACCATGAGCGAGTAGATGGTGCGCTCCCTGAGGGTACCGTGGAAGATGCCTCCCCTTCCCTTTCGGTTTGGTCCCGGGTCCTCCCTGCGTTCCCTGCCTGGCCCGAGGTTCAGGTTGGGGACCTTCTGCGCTACCTGGCCCCAAATCTCCACCACGACATTGCGCTTCTCCCGCACATAGACGTCTGCTGTGCTCTCTGTGAGCCAGTTGCCTAAGTACATGCGGCGATCCCGGGGGATCCCCATCTGGAAAGCGCAGTCCGGGATGAACACTCGGAATGAGTGCCACGTCAGCGGCTTCACCAACCCCGGGGTAACTCCCCGACGGAGAATCGCATCCTTGAGCCTTTTGTGGTGTGGAAGGTCTCGGGATCAGCCCTGCAAAGTCT